ATAGTAAATTAACTTAATGAAAAGTGAAGAAAAATTGTCCTACCTTCATGGTTTATTTTAAGAAGCTACTCTTTTTAGCACTATATGATATCGGCGAATCTCTATTGAGCAAGTCGTGCCATATGACCTTTTATTTAAAAACATGGTTTTGCTAGGTTATGCCTAATTTTTGGGCCAATTTTAGAGGGTCTTATGTAAGAAAGGCATGGTGAATTATACTGAGAACTTAACTCATTACAGCTACTTGCAGAGGATTATAGGCCCACAAATTTGAGCCGGCTGAACTGAACGATAACGGGTAGTTGATTAAACGAATTATTAGGCGAGTGGAGTTTTGATGAACCTGGTTGTGAGTCCAACACAACTGACTTATCTACATCGAATGTATACGGCGTACATGGGATGACACCGGGAAACATGTACACATTACAGTATCAAACTAAAATTTACCTAAGTTCGACAACCTTAATTTGCATTTTTGCGACGATCCCAGTCATTGCTTTTGCTTGATCTCTTGTCAAATGATATAAGTATTCGCTTTTGCACTAAGTCGCTCTTGAACTAGGCGAATTCGGTAACTTGATTAATATTGTTAGTCAAAACAAAATAAATAGTGAAAACGAAGCAATCAATGACGCAAGCCCCCTTATAAAAAAAATCAAATAGATATTTTGAACTATACTCACTATGCACGCGTTAACTTTTTTGATCTATCCATGCTATCCCTGGCTAGTTAATCATAAGGGTGGCCCAGGCAAACTATACCTAACGGAAATAACTGAGTTCCCGCGATGCTTGTCATCTTATTTGATCATGGAGTACCTTGCTCCCTTACATCCTATTTGTTCATTATCCTTAACCAGAGCAACCGTATATCAGACCCACATACAGGACTAAACATTTCTTTCTATTCAAAGCATGAATCAATGACCGAGCGCCGCCGCCAACGCAATCCTGATGGCACGATAGTAGAAGCTCAAATAGACAGGGTCAATGGAAAAGAGAAAGGTCGTTTTCACAAGAGACAGCCCGATGGAAAAGATGACACACATGAGTACGAAGCTGAATGTGAGTGTGCCTTACCCTTTATCTTTATTTATTATTCATTTAAGCCTACCATTGATTTGAGGTGTTTCAAGTCGTCGCGTAATCCTAATATCCTATCGATTGATCGAACTGCATTTTTCATGGAAAATTGTATACATTTAAAGAAAAAAGATGTTACATACTGAAAAAGTTTGGCTAATGCTAGATTCTAGCTTTAATAATTCTGGGGCATGTAGTACTGGTTTACTTTCATCATAAATTCGACAATAATTTATACTGGCAGTAGCTAGTATGCCCAAGTGTACATTTCAGAACATTACATCATTATTATTTTCAAGTTACTTCTTTTTTAACTTTTATTTTATAGACCCGTATGGAGGCAGTGCTGTGAAACAATCACCCTTGCAGATAGAAGGCCCAGATGGGGCCGAGAGTGGAGGCAGACGATGGTGGCAAAGAGGAACTTAACCAAGATTGCTGATTTTAGAGTGTGATTTAATGAAGTCGAGATAAAACCATAATTATTTACATATTTAATATTAAAGACAACTTCATTTGCAGTAGAAAATATTAGCGTTGCAATGGGGAGTAGTTAAGAAGTTTTTCTATGAGGTCTACGTGAGAAAGAAGCATCCGTCTACAGCAATATCTGCGTAGCCCAAGCGCGTCCAACGCGTCCCCTTCGGCATATTCAGCTTGCAGAAGACCAATATAATTTTCCCATTTATCGCCGACTACTTTGCCACAAGTAAAGCAGCGAATAGGAATGATCATCACGTCTTACAACTAAATATGAAAAAATGTAAATATGTTAATAGGCTTTATGAGCTTTATATTCTCAAGCAAAACAAAAACTAGGAAATATTTTTATTTCAATAAAAATGTCTCGGATGCAGAAACTGAGAGCTGGTAATTGATAATGTCACAAAGGGCGAAAATCGGATAATGTTGCCTCGATGTCTCAGGTAATACATGCCATATGAGCTTTTGAAGACAGCTGAACTCCCATAGGTTGGTACTTGTCCCGACAGAACTGACTAGCATCGTACATATGCCCGCACAAGGGATCCCTGGTTCCATGAAAAAGTTAAGTGGAAGTGCTGGCCTTCCTGAACCCGGGTAGTTTGAGTGGATCCTCAGGTTCGCGCGTTTGCCAGAACACCCAGGCTCGGCACAATTCCGGGAATGGGTATAACCTTAATAAAAGCTATAGACTGGCTCAAATATAATTAAACGCGAGTTAATAGGTTCATGGCAAAACGCAGGCTTGGTACCGTAATAGCTTGTCTCAGCCTTTCTCTGATTATGCTCTAAGGTGGTCACCGGATGGAAGTACAGGGAAAGGTGGTCCCATTCATCATAGAGAAATGGAGTTTAAACTTTAGTGAACGCAATGGCCTTGAGTCATGTACAGAGGGCTGCATTTAGGTAGCTATGGGCATTAAATACATAACTAATTCGTGGTAAAGTAAAGGTGAAAGCTGTTTTTATGGTGGGAAAGCAAAGGAAACCGAATTTGGTACTGAGGCCTGATGCAGGAGCAACTCAGCCGGTGGTAGCTCGATACTATTAAGGGAAGAACTTTTATTTCGTATGAAAATGCATGAAGAGATTCGTTGGTCGATAGTTATCTGGAAAACATCTAATGTCAGCATCCCGAGCCCTCTAGCTCAGCGTATGAGGAATTTAGTGTAGAAAACTAACACAGACTGGGCGGTTAGTAAGCGGCGCGGAGTCTTTGGACACTGCTAGGCGTACGTTGCCAATTGATCGGGGCCACGTGGTAGAATTCGGGTCTGGAGTTACTAAATAGCAATTAAGAACACCTCGTATTCCCTGAGTTCTTCATAGTAGGATCGTGTATGTTGAAGGGCTATAAAAGAATAAGCGTCTGAAACCAGGCGATCTATCGATTTATATACGTAAAGACAACTTTTTAGCATTGTGTGGCTTGTTTCTGCTCAAAACGAGTCCAAGCCAATGAAAGATACAGAATATAAATGAAAATGTCTCACCGGAGATTTAAGGGCACAATTTGAGAGCCTTTACCTTTAGAAATCTCCCCAACCTGCCAGTTAATCAAGCAAATAATGCTCCCTCATAAGATCTAGTTTGGCAACCAGCCAGAAGTCAGTTCGAGAGGACATGATTAGGCGACTAAAGATAACTTTCA